ATTCCTTTCAATTATTTAATTAATTAACAAAAATTCAATCCGGAATAGCCCATGACCCGCGACCATATTCGTTCCGGTCCATTTTCTTTCCCGGATTATTTTCAATCCGTTTGTTGTTTCCCGCAATATTTCTGTTTCGCACCTGTTCCAACAGCTATGGCTGTTTCTGAAAGGTTGCAAACCTTTTCAGAAACAGTGTCAAATGGTCTATAAATGTTCCTTGAATCCCAGAATCTTTACTTACGAAATTTTCTGATCTTCTTCTTCTTCTTCTGCACATAAAAATTCCAGTGTGTTTTACAGCCTTCGAGTGGTTCGTTGTTCATTAGTGTTTTTGGTGCCAACACTCCGGTGAGTTAAATCGTTCTATCCTGCGAGGATATATTCTAGCACCTCGGGTACTTGATCAAGGGAATAATTTCCTTAAAGACACATTGTGTATTCAATGGGCTCGATTTATTCCTATATTATTTTTCAGAATTTATTTGTCGTTCTCGTTCTACTAACTTTCTGTTTCTATTTTTCCATAAAGTTTAATGTTTTATTGGTTATTACAACAATACAGATGAATAACATAATTAACCATTGAATTGTACCTTTTGACAAATAGTATTGTTTAGTTTGGTTAAACGACAACGTAGACTCCAAAGTTTCGTTAAGGGCCTTACGCTTGAATTCTGGGCTCTTACTTTAGGCAAGTGGCCCACAAATCGATTATGAGAAATTCATACTATATATTAGTTTTCAAAAAGGAAACTATTTACTACTCCATTGTTTATCAAGCATTTAGCAAAATATAAAGTCTCTTTTCTGATGCATGCTTGTCTATTAAATGTGTGGATATGATTTGATATGATATATATAGTTATTTTGTGTAGATGATTTTTTTCAGCATTTTGAAACCTTCCAATGAAGCTTTTGTGGAAGAGATTTTCATAGTGGGTTTGCAGCATAATTCAAATTCATTATGCAGAGTTCACTTTTGTGTTTCATGGCGTGAGAGATGTGAGGGCTCCATATATTCACTTTTATGTCAATCTTACCTTTATTTCAAGTATAGGAATCTACTGTGATTGGATTAGCCATCACCAATAAAATTAAGGAAGTTCCATGCTAAAAATGTCCTCACAATAACTTGCTTTTGGACTTTTTAAATGCTGCCACTTGTAATCTTATATAAACCGTGAGAATAACTGATTAAGTCATGCTAGAAATAAAGGCCAAGCTACATGCGATCAAGAGATACATTTAAATAGCTGTCGTTGAAGGTAAATATTATTAAATTCCTTGACATAACAAAATTAGTGACAAAGAGGATTCAAAAGTTACTCTAAGTTACAGGGTTAAATTCATAATTTGACCTTCTTATATTTTTTCCGAATCTCTTAGAATTGGTGACACTACTGCAGCTATAAAAGTCATTCTTTAAACAGAATTTAATTAGATTTTCAAGTGGTTTAATTGAAAGATATATATTGTTGAATATAGGAACTCAATGAGAAAAATGTCAGCTTCTCATCAGCATTTTCTGCCATCTTTTGACTTTGACTTTGTCACCATCACTCCACAGGTTAATAAATACGTAGTAGATATTTGTAAGAGTAAGAATAACTTTTTTTTGGGGAGCCAGTTATTCGGCTATGAGTTCAGCCAAAATCAGTAGCTTTTATCTAAATTTTATATTTGTCTTAAGAAATTCATCGAAAATTACAAATTATTACATTAAAACCCAATAATTTAAAAAAAACTTGAATTCTGAACCCATATATAAATTTCAAATCTTAACTTCGCCTCTAACTTTTGTTTGTATGAAAGTAAAGCATATATAATACCTTCCATAAATAAAATGATGCTATTTAGAAAAGAGATCAATATTTGTGGTATCTCGAGGATTTTGGCAGTAGTTATATGCTCCATATCAGGGTGGCAGAGCATTGTTTATTAAGAAAAGGAAAGCGAAAAGAGAGAGGAATTCGCAAGAAACAAACAAATCAAATAGATTTACACTACTACCAGTGTTGTCGGGACCATATGTATCAATTAAGGCACACAAAATCATTGCGAGACCACTAATATATTGTAATTTTTGCTAGGCAAAGGAATCTCCTTATCCTTATGAAATGAGATATGATTATATTTCTTGTAAAGTCATTATAGCATTATATAGGGACGGATGGAAATTGGAACTAATACCTAAAAGATTATGCAATATTTCAAGAATTTATGCAATGTATATTGAGTATTTATTTGAAATGAATGAAAAATGCATCGGGACGACAATGACGGTGAATTAGTCTCTTTTTCTCTTCACAAAGTCATAAAAAAATGAAGATGTAAACATTATATTTGTTAGTATACCATATTTGTAAAATAATTCTGGAGAAAATAAAATAACATATAAACAGAAATATAAACAAAACAGAAATTAATCCGAGCCCACTTAATTTACAGTGTTTCCTTAAGGAATTTAACCCCCTTCTAGTACCCAAGGTTGTGGATTATTTCCTCCCAGGATAGAACGAATTACACACTGGTATAGTGGTACTTCAAACCCAGTGTTTCAGCGAACACAAAGTTCGGTAGCAAATCACACTTACTGTTGCTTTCTTTGAAGATGAAACAATGCAGAAGAAAGGAGGAGAACTCAGAAAATCATATGAAAAATCTGAGAGAATGGACATGTATTTATAGCCAATGTCGAGCTCAAAACTGAAGAGATGCAACTCTTCAGAATGGCTGTTTATGTAAAACGGCCATAACATAAAATGCTGTAACATAATTAAATGGCTATTTACGCAATAATAAACCGGGAATTGAATCCGAATCCGAATCCGAATTCGAGCGGCGACGACGCGAGGCTTGTCTTCTTCTTAACTCTTTAAGAGCTACAAGAAGAGCAATTGTATATATACCCATCAAAAACCTTTTCCTATTCCAATATGGGAAGGGGGAATCTCAAATGAAACTCAAATATTTCATTTTCCCTTCATTTCCCATTCACCCTATTTTAAGCCTATTTAGCTTAAAACCTCAACAATATTCCCTTCATTTCATTATATGTGACGCCCTTTCGTTTGTAATTTGTTTAAGAAAAAATAATAAATTTTATCGTCATAGAAATGTCAAGAATTGTTAAATACCACAAATTTCAAACGTATTTTTTTAAAACTTTATGCAAATAAAACTGAGTAATTATCTCTTGATTTGTGAATAAAAAGTTACTACATAGTAGGAAAGAATATGGGTATAGTGGGGTATCCGTTACCGCTGCTGGTCAAACTAGCAGTAGAGGATAGTGAAGAAAAAAACATTGAATGTCTCGCTTACATGGTTGTCCTCAACAATCCACGCGCATGCTGTTTAGTTTATATGTTAGTACCACAGATTTTAATATTCATACATCAAACTTCAGAAATTTCTGAACTCCATATAACGCTAATAATATCTACTCCAATAAGGTATATATCATAGTTAGGTGTTCAAATTGATTACGCCTATTTGGAAATCTTTTTTTAATTTTTTCTTAGTGATTTAGCATAGAACAAGTAATCAAATAGAAGATAATGTACAAAGTTCTTAAAGGATAAAAAGGATAATGTGAATATATAAAACGTGGCCTAAGATTGATATAACTTTTGCAAGTTCTCTATAATATTAGTAATGAAATTCAGTCATTGCATTACATAAATCTCTTTAATCACCTCTCCCGATTAGCAATTTAGCATGCTAGCAATTATTTCATTTCATCATTATTTCTCCCTCTCATATCTTCTATATTCATATATAAGTTGTGTTGAGTGGAGCTAGAAGCCCCGGTACGAATTTGCTCGAATTCAGTAATTCTTATTTAAATAATGTATTTACTTTAATTTTTTTGTTAAATATGTGTAAATATTAAATTTAGAATCCATTTATTAGCATTTGAAATCATCATTCTAAAATTTAGAATCCATAATGTTTGAATCTTGGCTCCGTCTCTAATTATATTGTTATTGAGATAAAAAATAAAAATAATAACTAAAAAGCTTTATGAATTTGGTCAGTAAATGATTTACATTTATTGTTGACATACGTAAATTACATTAATTGATATCGGAAATTAGTAATTAGAAACTGTTTGATCAAAAATATAAACTTTCGGTTAAACTATTTAATTTTATGTAATGAGGGGTTAAACCTAGTTAATGATAATACTCCTAGATTTAGAACTTGACAGCATGGATTATGTAAGATAAAGTCGGTGGAAAACTAAAAGTAATGCACATTTAATATTCTAAAAGATGTGAGCAATAATGGAGGAATATCAAGCAATAAATGACATTAATGTAAATAGGTAGAACGATTCACCCAAAAATAAATGAGGTGGGTGATTGTTCCTTATGACAATGATGAATGACACACAAATCCTCGAATGTTAGAACTATTCTCGGATCTGACGGAGAGGTGTGTGATATTATGTGCAAGAATATTGCAAAAGGTAAAGTTTGTAATCTTCTTCTGAAAAGTGTTCTTATCAAGTCAATGTTACATGCCCTACACTATTGTTCCTCTTTCTATTTGTATGAGACATATCCCTAACAAACTCTCATAGTACAAGGGCAAAGAATATTCAATTTACTATCTTATTACAAAACTAGCCGTTACTGTTCTGGCCTTGGTGCTCGACCTCGACCATTGTTGACATACCGGTCACAAATCACACTGCTTCCTGCTCGACCTCGACCGCATCTTTTTCCTTAATGCCGCTTCACGCTAAATTTCCTTAGGACAGATTTTGGCCTATACAGGAACATATATAAGATTTATAATTTGTAAGACCAAGTAAGTAATGCAGCTGTAATCTAATGATCAATAAAATAAAACAAAAATCTATTGCATTTAAAACTGCAACATAAGAATAAAAAATATATTTTTTTGTTTTTAAGTGTTGCCAAGTCCTAAAATATGAGAAATTGGTTTTGATACTTTGATGTGAAAACCTTAACCTATTTCCTTTAAATATTTGTTTAAAGTCTATGTTCAGTCTCACTCTCGCTCACACCTTCCTCTCTTCTCATCAAACTGTCAACCAAAATCAAAGCCTTATTTTCACATCAGCACCACCCAAAACAACCAGCCGTGGCTAGCCAAAAAGCCCACCACCACCTCGAGATTGCTGCTCAAATAACTCATCAAACGGCCAATATTACGCCTTCTTCTTGACTGCTGCTGCACAAACCCACACACATTGCATGTGCAGTTCAGTCTCAGTCTTATAATATTCTTCTTTCATTTCAAACCTCTTTTCCTTTCCAATAAGTCTCTCAAACTCTGACAAGAAAAAAGCCAAAACAGAAGTCCCAATAACTAAACAACAAAAGAAAAAGGACCCATTTAGCCATTTTCCCCACAAATAATACTCCACTCCACCTTTTCTCGTACAAAACACTATACTCTGTTTCTTTCTTGAGTGATTGATTGAGTTGTAGCAATGGAGGAAAGACCTGAAACTGAACTCATTTCAATACCAGCAACTCCACGTGCATCAACGCCTGAGATTCTAACGCCGTCAGGTCAAAGATCACCTAGGGGAGGACATACATCAACTGGAGCTTCTAATAAAGATGCTAAATCTTGGACACCAACTTCATTTATTTCGCCTAGGTTCTTGAGCCCTATTGGTACTCCAATGAAAAGGGTGTTGGTTAATATGAAAGGTTATTTAGAGGAAGTTGGGCATTTGACTAAGCTCAATCCTCAAGATGCTTGGCTTCCTATTACTGAGTCTCGTAATGGGAATGCTCACTATGCTGCTTTTCATAATCTCAATGCTGGTATTGGGTTTCAAGCTTTGGTCTTGCCTGTTGCTTTCTCCTTTCTTGGATGGTATTATTACCCTTTCTTTCTATTTCTATTTCTTTCGCGGAACTTGCAAAAATGCATACTAAGACTAACTACAATAGACCCTTGTGGTACGGCCGTTCCCCAAATCCGTGCAGCTTAGTACATCTGGCTGCCTTTATTGATAATGGATGCTTGGATATTGTTCTTACCATTGCTTTTAAGCTTCTTAATGTTTAGTTCTTTAACTCTGTTTCATCTGTTTGGTGCTTGTTATTTCTATTGCTGAAATGGTTAAAGTTTTGATCTTTTTTACATTTCTTTGTGGAATTTATTGTGATGTGATAATAGATGCTTCAGTATTCTTGTTGTAGCTTTTATTTTGTTGAACTACATGTCCTAGTGTTTTAGTCCCATTACTCTGTTCCATATGTTTGGTGCTTGTTTTTGCTTTTGTTATGCTGGTATGATTAAAGTTTGAATCTTTTTCACATTTTTTTTTGTGGAATTTAGTGTTTGTTATATGATTATATGTACCTTAGAAATGCAACATATAGTAGACCCTTGTAGTCCGGCCCTTCCACGGACCCCGCTTATAGCGATAGCTTAGTGCACCAGGCTGCCCTTAAATGCTTGAAAAGCTGCTTGCTTTTGACTGCTTTTTCAACAACAATTTTTGGGCTTTTTATGGTTTGTCTTTGAAGTTTCTACCATGTTGGTTTGAAGAACTATCTCTGTGCCATCTGCTTGGTGCTTGTTATTGCTATTGTTATAGTTAAAGTTTGGATCTTTTTACATTTCTTTGTGGAATAAAGATGCTGTGTTGTTGGTTTGAAGATCTATATCTGCTTATTGGAGATGAGTAGATTTACTTGAGTTGTTGCTACCGTTTATTACTTCATTTTCACTGCTCCTTGAGCTGGGGGTCCATCGGAAACAACCTGTCTACTTTCACAAGCTAGGGTGCGTACACATTACCTTACACTAAGTTTGTTGTTGTTGATGGGAAACCCATTATTGCTTCATACACTTTTTCAAAGCAAACCTTCAATCTCGAAAGTCTTGATCTTTCTGCTGTTGTTTGACCTCTAAGTACTGCTTTTCTAAATGCATATCAGTTATCTTTGAAAATACAGACTTTGATTGACTATAGTGCATTACTGGTCCCCCCACCATCTATTGATACGTTGTTTAACATAATTATCTGTTGTGGACCAACAAGAAATCTTCTATATCTGTCTCTATGCATTTACTTTTCTTGCTTTTCTCAACTTTCATCATTGTTTGCAAATGAAATCAGAAAAAAGATAATTGAGCCAATTCTCAGCATATATACTACTTTTGCTTTTTCATAAGAAATGCTACTTCAACTGGGTCCTTTCACTATTTTGCTTTCATCTTTTGGGAATTAAGACAGTTGGCTGCTACATTGTGCTGAATGGTGTACTCATTTAGTCCACCTTCTTTTGCAAAGATGGCCCATGCTGCACAAAAGGGTTTAAGTTATATACATTTACCTGCAAGTATTTTTATACAATCAAGTTATTAAAAAAATCAATTACACGTAATTGTCCAATTACTTATTTCATCTGGAAGCGACAACTGTATGAAAGGAATTAATGTAGTATATGGATGAGAAATTTCGTAGTTGTTAGTCAAAATCATTTCACAAATATATATGGATTTCCCTAATCTGAAGATGTTTTAACAATGAGTTCATATTCAAAATTCATGTTTACGTGATATATTTTGCTTCTCTTTTTATAAGTGACCTACAAATTCATGTCTGCCTCTTTACCCTTCTGCACTTAAATACCAAATGTGTTTTATCATCTATGATTCGAGCTGACTCGTGAGGTGTGCCTATGAAATATCTTGTGCTGTCCTACTTTTGTCGTTGAACCATATAGCCCTTTTAAATTTTTTTAGTCTTTTGCCGTTGTTATAGTACTTCTCCTTTTTCAATTCCTGAAACAGCAATTTAGTCGAAATTTGGGCTAGGAATTATTATAGGCAGGTTGTTTTCTGTTGTCTATGTGAATTAACTTTTGGTGCGGCCCCAGTATGGTTGATTTGGCAGGTTTTGACCTACCACTTTGACATATAAATTGCTCTGAAGTATGACTCTTAAATAACTGAGCTTCCATTCAATGTCTTTAAGTTTCCATTATATTTATCTTTTGCCAGAATATACCAGGTACTCTTAAATTCTAGTCTTCTGATAGGAGCATTTGGTAATGAGGAATTCGTAGTGTCAAATAATTGATGCGCTAATAATATTCTTCAGAGAATTGACTCAGTAATATTCCCTTCTGAATGCAGGAGTTGGGGAATAATTTCCTTAACTATAGCTTATTTCTGGCAACTTTATACTTTATGGATCTTGGTTCAGCTGCATGAAGCAGTTCCTGGGAAGAGATACAATAGATACGTGGAACTAGCGCAAGCTGCATTTGGTAAGAAAATCAAGTTTTAAATTTTCAGCTAACCAACTGTTCAAAGCTACATGTCAGATCAAAATTCTTTCTCTGTTACCTCTGCTTTCCTTTTTATTCCTTTAACCTGCTCGAAGCTCACCTATCTGATGCGAAAAACTGATTTCATTTTGGGTTGTATCAAAGGGTATGGCGCAATTCCATTGCTATCCAACTTTCACAACTTCCAAGAATTAAATTCATTAAATTTTTCGATCTTTAATCTTTGACGTGATGTTTTTTATATCAAGCTAACTTTTTAACCTTTATTTTACTATTTTCTTTCACTAACAATATAATATACATAAATCAAAATGAATATCTTAGACTCAGGTGTCTAGTCAACCACCGTCATATAATTGAAAGGGGAAGAGTACTTGATTATTGGTAACCAGTAAAATCCATGGAAAGTTGATAGAGTTATATAAATCCTACTTCTTGTCATTTAAGGGAAAGGACAAGAACATAGTTCACTTTACTTGCTAACATTGCCAACATTGTGTTCACTTGCATTTTCAGGTGAAAGACTGGGTGTTTGGCTTGCTCTCTTCCCTACTGTTTACCTATCTGCAGGGACTGCGACAGCTTTGATTCTCGTAGGAGGTGAAACCATGAAGTTGTTCTTTCAAATTGTTTGTGGTCCGCTCTGTTCATCCAATCCTTTAACAACTGTTGAGTGGTATCTGGTTTTCACTTCCCTCTGCATTGTTCTATCCCAACTCCCGAACCTGAACTCGATTGCTGGACTCTCCCTCGTTGGAGCAGTGACAGCTATCACATATGCCACTATGGCATGGGTCCTCTCTGTAAGCCAACCAAGACCACCTTTGATTTCATATGAACCCATTTCATTGCCTTCCTACACAGCTTCTCTCTTTTCTGTCCTGAACGCCATGGGTATCATAGCATTTACTTTTAGAGGGCACAATTTAGTTCTAGAAATTCAGGTAAACTTTCTCACTCTTTTTCCGGCATGCGTATGCACAATATGTCTCTGTAACTAGTGTAAAGAAACATTTCTAACTTCATTTTGTGTCATTTTGCAGGCAACAATGCCATCAACCTTCAAGCACCCAGCTCATGTGCCAATGTGGAAAGGAGCAAAAGTTGCATATTTCTTCATAGCCATGTGCCTGTTCCCTATTGCAATTGGAGGTTTCTGGGCTTATGGAAACCTTGTAAGTGGCTATCTTTCCGTGTATTTGCACCAATACACTAGGAATTGGTGTTAATAAGTATTAAATTCAATCACATTATTTTGACAGTAGGGAAAATTTTTCATTTTTTCCTTGTGATAAAGCTTTGCCAAACTATCGTACGTGTATTGGTAGTCAAGTTGCTACTTTACTACCAACAACAACAACATACCCAGTATATTCCAACAAGTGGGGTCTGGGGAGGATAGTACGCAGTCGTAAACCCCTACGTTGTGAAGATAGAGACGTTGTTTCTGGAAGACTTGCTACTTTACTACCCACAGAAACATTTTTCTTATTGTATTTGTTTGCATGTGCTATTTATCCTTGGTAGAATGGTGTATATTCCACCTTTTGCACAGACAATATATGTTTTCCTTAGTTCTGATTTGATTGCTTGCTTAATTCCCTTACAGATGCCATCGGGAGGAATGTTAAGTGCTTTATACGCCTTTCACATTCATGATATTCCAAGAGGACTTCTAGCCATGACGTTTCTTTTAGTCGTGTTCAACTGCTTAAGTAGCTTCCAGATATACTCAATGCCAGCATTCGACAGTTTTGAAGCAGGCTACACCAGCCGTACCAACCGACCATGCTCAATCTGGGTCCGATCCGGATTCAGAATATTTTTTGGATTCGTTTCGTTCTTTATTGGAGTGGCACTACCGTTCCTGTCAAGTCTTGCAGGATTGTTAGGAGGACTCACACTTCCGGTAACATTTGCTTATCCTTGCTTCATGTGGGTTCTAATAAAGAAGCCTACAAAGTACAGCTTTAACTGGTATTTCAACTGGATCCTTGGATGGTTAGGAGTTGCTTTTAGCTTGGCTTTTTCCATTGGAGGTATTTGGAGTATGGTCAATAATGGACTTAAACTCAGGTTTTTTAAGCCCAGCTAAGAGATGAATAAGCTTTGGTAAACTTTTATTTGCTAGTGATAGCAATCTGTGTTTCTATTATAGCCTTGAGAAAAAGTGAAAAAAAGAAATGGAGAAAGGAGGGGTGGTGTTTGTCGGTTTGGGTGGGTTGGGTTGGGTGGGTGTGGGAGGGGGGGGGGGGGTAGAGAATATGTATAAAACCATAGGTACAAAGTTTGAGGTCATTTTCATGTGCTTGATTTGCTACCTTTGGAATTTGGGATCAAAGTGAGAATATGTGATTACAACCTTTTGTTTGGTATTATGATGCAACTTCTTTCACAAGTTGGTAAAGCTACAATTTGAAGAATATGTCCATTCGGCTTTTTGATTGAAATTTATACAAGTCGTGTGTTTTGCAAAATCACTCCAAAACCAAATCTGTAGCAATGCTAGACCGCTTGCAGGATGATTTTAAGTTTTCAACTTGCTGATGCACTTATGGTCTTTCCTTGAGAAAGCGATTTAATGTGTCAATTGCAGTAATTGAAGAAGGGTTTTCAGATGAATTACTCTTTGTAAAGTATAGATGATTTTAGTATTTCATCAAACGTTATGTTTACATTAACAAACAAATCGTTGCAATCACTTAAAGAACCCGGGCAGGTGTTTGCCTGCTTGGATACGTCATACAGCTCATGTCACGACTCAAACCAAAAGGCCGCGATGGGTACCCGGTGCCTAACTCTACCTAATACCAACGTAATGTATCCTTATCATACTATCATGGTTGTATGAGCCGGAAAGACCGTCATGAGACAACTAGAATTAAACATAAGAGAATACTCAACATAGGACGACTCAACATGGTATACAAACTTATACATGTAACATACGGGCATATAAGACCAAAATGATCGCTTGTACACTCAAAACATAGGCCGACAAAGGCCATACAATCTTTCATATGAATGATATCTGTCTACAAGCCTCTGAGTACATAAACGCCATAAAGGTCTGAAGAAGGCTCCGCCATACCAATCAATACATGTCCAAAGCATACTGACCAAATAGGCAACTCCAAAGCAAGTGGAGTGCACCAACACCTTCCGCTAATCTGATAGCCTACTAGAAGGACTATCAACATGTCTATCGGGACCTGCGGGCATGAAACGCAGTGTCTCCAGATAAAAAGGACGTCAGTATAAATAAAATATCGAGTATGTAAGGCATGAAAAGCAGTATATAAAAGATATGAAACAAGCATGGAGTAAAGGACTCAACCTGTAAGATTAAATAGCTCTGTAAATCATGAAACATTTATAATATCATGCTATGCGTATAAGTGTCATATCATGCATATGGATATGCGTACATAACATCATCAAGCCTTTGGGGGCATCCCGTCATATCATCTCAGCCTCTGTGGGTGAAATCATCAACTTATATCATCTGATCAGGTGGTGGTGTGTAATAACGTCGTAACATTTTCCCATACCCCATATACATTTAATATGTGCGTTATAACGCCATCTGGTCATGGGTCAATATACGTGTATAAATGAATGTAATACATAATGAAGTAAGTCAATAAGATCTTTCGAAATGTCATAAGATTAATATGCATTCGGTATAATATCACGAAATAAACTTTATCACCTACATATTTTTTAAGACCTATGAATAGACAATATAATAATAGGACATACGAGAAATCAAGAACATATGCAACTCTATCATGGAAAAGTGTTGTGAAAAAGTTTGACGGTATACAGTCTTGAGTGTTATTTAGCGGTAGGAAAGAAGAAAACGTGGATATATAGACGACATGCAAAAGGTGCAAATTCCTTAGAACCCTTGGGATAGGGAATCAAATTCTATGATATCGGGCACGGTCGGTGGTGCGCATCAACCTCGGCGCTGACACTTGCATAGTTGCATTGACACTTCATAAAAGCAAGCTGTGCCGTCCTAGGCTTTTTCTCAATATTAGTATTAATAAATCATGTTCTTCCTGTCCTAGGCTTTGATTGGTGGCATTAGTCCAACAATTGTTACTAATACCACTATCAATCTTACGCACCAATAGGAGTGGCAAACGAGCGGCCAAGTCGGATATAATTGGGATCAAAAACGGATAATGAAAAAATAGATAAATTATCTGATCCGATCCATATTTAGTACGGATAAAAAAAAGTTAATCGACAGATAATATAAGTAACCATTAAGGGTGTCAAACGGGCCGGGTTGACCCGTTTCCGGACCGGCCCAGATCGGTTGAAACTCGACCGGCCCGGACCGGTAGTTAGGGGCCGGGTGGGCTGGGTTAGGGGGGTTGGTCCGTTCACCTAAATAGATCCGGTTAATCGGACCGATCAAACCCGGTCAACCAAAATTCCTATTGAACCGGTTAACCGGTTTATCGATAAACCGATAAGAAATACAAAAAAAAAAAAAAAAAAAAAA